CCGGTATACACCGGCGGTATAATTAATCGATCGTGTCTAATTATCATCTACGATCGACACACGTTTTACGGTTGTACAAGATAGATCGTCATATCGGAAGCATTGTAACTGCGCGCGCGCGCGAGAGAGAGAGAGAAAATAAACGAACACCGGTGTAATTATCCCGTAGTGTTTTTATACGGAATATAGAGGCCTAGACCACGTGAAAAAAGAATATACGTATACGTATATATATATAGTTGCATTGAGTGCACCGAACATTGCTCTACAAGTTGCACTAAAAACACTACTTACAAATATATATATACTCTCATCTAAAGGACAATCTTATCACGGACTCAGATATTTAAATGCAGCAGACACTGTTCTGCGTATTATATATATATATAGTATGTGCCGTGTGTGTGTTTGTGTGTATATATATATGTATACAGGGTATCCCGTAAAGAATATAACACCCGGAAATGGGGGGTTGCTGGGGTGACTCTGAACAACTTTTTCCTTGACCAGAATGTTGTTTGAAGCTTCGTTTTCGAATTATTAACGAAAAACACCGGCCAATCAGAGCGCGCGTAGAGCCCCCGCTCAGGGACGGGCAAAGTCACCCCAGCAACACCCCATTTCCGGGTGTTACACTCTTTACGGGACACCCTGTATAAAACACAGGGTGTCTCGTTTGTGACGAACATCTAATTTTAATTTCATTACTGTAGTAAGCAAGAAAAATTTGTCTAATAGAAGTTTACACGATTCGAGGACGTGCATCTTGCGATGATGAAATAAAAATTCCCTCAAGGTCATCTTAAAGGTCGTTCTAAGGTCATCTATATTTTTTTTTGCGTATTAATCTTTGTGTTTTTACAACGTTGCACCCAACGTCAAGATTTAATATGCAAAAAAGTAAAGACGACCTTGGAATGACCTTCGAGGACTTTCTCTTGTCGCAAACTCCTTTAGCCACGTTTTCTTGCTTTCAACAGCGGTGAAAATAATTTAAATGTTCGTTACAAGCGAGACACCCTGTATAGATCCCTGGCACCTGAGTCAACCTCACGATATTATACAGGATTACCACTCTAACGGTTCGCGCGATTTTTCAGTCATCCGAGACCTTGTGAAATGTAAAATGTTACCAACGAAGATTTATCTGTATCGCAGTGTAGATCGATAATTTCGAAAATACGAATTACCAAATTAACCGAAATGAATCCAAGTTACCTTGACTGTTTTTTTTAATGAAACAGTAAAATTTTTTTACGCGAAAGAAATTTTCCAACTTTTCGCCATTTAATACAGAAAAATTCTTTTTAATAACTTTTTCTTATCACACTGTCTTGCGAATGGCTGAAAAATCATTCGTATCGTTCAAAGTGGACACCCTGTACATATACATAATATAGTATATCAGGGAACATTTAAGTATTTGTATACGTATGCATATATATATCTACTGTCTGTTATATATACATATACATAGATACGTGTGTATTCGGGTGTATATATGTGTGTGTGTGTGTGTGTATGTGTGCATGTAATATGTCACAACTAACACCGATCGATGGTAGGAAAACAGTAAGGTAGACAGAGCAGATCAGTTAAATTTAAATGCACTGGTTAAGAGTGTAGTAGTAAGTAGTAGTAGTAGTAGTAGTAGTAATAGTAGTAGTAGTAGTAGATAATAGTATATATGGTT